CACATGAAATAGTAATGTTTACCAAAAATATCCTTAACTGTGCCCGGCCTAAGTATTTTACCTTGGAGGACAGCCGGAGTTTTGTGCTGAAAAGACTTGGGAGATGATAGTTTCCCCGAAGAGTTCACCAAAGCGTAACCAGTGGAGGGAGGCTACCGTGTCTACGAAAGGCTCATGGACAGCCTTGTAAAACCTTCGGTGGAGCTCCATCTCTTTTCATAGGGTCTCCCGGTCGGAAATGCTCTGCAATGCCGGGTCTTGCCATTGATCATTGGCTAAGGATAGAGGGGTAAGTCCTTTATCACGAGAAATGACGTCCTTATAGAATGGATCATCCGATCTCACCAGGAAGTAATTACGGAGGCTACACACTTCGTGATTATGCATGGTGAGCGCGTTTAAAAACGCTCACCATGCTTTCGCGGCAAGTACAGCCTCATTACCGACGATCTCGGATGATGCATTCTATGGGACGTCATAGTAGTGTGGACTTTTCTATCCAGAGCGTTAAGTTCAGTCTAAATCCACCAGAGTATGCCAAAGGTATACATGACGACAGGCATGACCCAACCGTTATATGCGTGTGTCTTGTTCACACCGGACAAAAGGCTGTTAAACACTTTAGTCAAGCGTGCACGTCACAAATTGACTGTTTCATACCAGTCTCATCGATATCGATGTTCTGTGACATACCCAGGTATCGGTATGTTTCCCCCCCGAACGGGTTCCCGCCTTGTTGTGGCGGGGGGCTTAGAAGCCGTGGCTTGGTCACCCACGGCGAAACAAAGAGGAACCCATATGGCTGGTCCAAGGTGGAGGGCCGGCCCGAGGTGGCCACTCCGCGTGGGCTTGGGGAGCCCACTTTGGATGTGTGTTGGTGGACTGCGGTGAGAGGTGTGTCCTCCCCACCTACCGCTGCAGCCGAGGTGGAGTCGCGGAGGAAGAGGAGTGTTGGTATGGCGATGCGCCACTCGCCCTGTCCTCCGCGACTCAAACGGGGCCGCACCGTTGTGCGTGGTGGTGGGGCTGCGGGGGGAGAGGATTGTCTGTATTGCGAGGCGCCGCTCTCCCTACCCTCCGCAGCCGAATCTTGGTTGGCGGCGGAGCCATAGACCAGATCCGCCGCTGGGCTCGGGAAGGCTAGTACTTCTAAGTGCTTGTTTTTCCTGGCCCCATGGCCTTCTTGCATTGGACGCGGGGGCGTTCGTTGCGCAGATGTAATTAGAGGCCGAGAAGGAAGGCGCGCCATGTGTTCTGGTGCGCCTTACCTGTGAAGGAGAACGGGGTGGAATATTCCGCTCCCGAGGGGGTGCTGCCATGGGGCGGCAGGCGCTGGTGGGGCTGCGGATGTGTGCGAAAGGGTTCCCGTGGCCCTGCCAATAGCGACAAAGGTGGAACACCATGGGGTTTTAGTCGGTGCGAGTCCGACATAACCCGTCCTTGCCCCCGCGAGGCGGGTATGCGTAGGCATTTCCCCATGTACAAAAAAAAAGGTATCGGTATGTTTTAGCCTCAGAAACAACCCCTTAGTTGACGGACACAGAAAAGTCTATGCCCTCAGAGTTAGCAATTCTTCCCCTTTCAACATGGAGGACCACAAACTTATCCATCCCCAGCTCCCTTCCAATAGAATTGCTAAATTCACAAGTGATGTTTAGCAATTCCATAAGATGGGAGCGACTGGAGGCAAATAACTTGAGATCATCCATATAGAAAAGATGGGTCACTTTTGTATCTCCTTTACGAAGCCTGAAAATCCATCCCGGAGCCCTCCAGTAAAGTACTGAAAGGGTTCAAAGAGAAGCAGAAAGCAAGAAAAGCAAGCAAGAAGCCTTGTGAAGGGCTGTAATGTTCATCATCATTACAGTCCTTCACAAGTCCACTGCTTAACATTGGCCTCCCCCAAGTTATGCCACAAAGCACGGCCCTTAGCCACCTGAATCCATCGAATTCCTGCATGTCTTACCAGGTCGTCTCTCAATCTAGTAGGGGGTCGCCCAACACTTTACCTACCGGTACAAGGCTGTCACTCGAGTACCTTTTTTCCCCAACGGTTGTCGGTTCTTCGAGCTATATGACGGGCTCCTTGCTACTTTAGATTACTAATCCTTTGGGCTATGTCGGTTACTCTGGTTCTACTGCGGATATCCTCATTTCTAAGTTTATCACGCAGAGAAACCCCGAGCATAGCCCTCTCCTCAGCTCGCTGAGCGACTTTGAACATCTTTGTAGCAGCGCTGTCGTCGCGCCACTAGCACACCGAAACACACCGAAGCCTAAATCTCGCTATTAACATTCCGAATCATAGACAGTATATATAGAACTTCTCCGAACTATCACTCGGAGTGTTGGCCGCTCCCCGGGCAGAACACCCCTTTTTCCTTACCACGGCCACAGTGGTGACTACCCAACGTGATCTGAACACGCAACCAACAACCTTCGGAAACTTCAAGCTTCATCATCGTCATAAAATACCACACCCATTCGCTCCCTAGCAGATATCGTCTACAGTCTTCATATCCTGCAAGCCATCTGGCTTCACAAGGTTCATCGCAGCACTGGAATAATAATGCTTCCTGTTCCTTCAAGCTATTCTCTGCGCTATACAGTGTTCGGCAGGGCTCTGAACCTTACTGCTCGCCTCTGCTTCACGGCACTCTAGCAGATTACTTGCCTTCTTCTCGACTCACCTCAGACTACAAGGCAATCTCCTGGCACTTGCACATTCGTCGGCAACGAGGCTGCACTATCGACCTCCGGTCTGAGCAGGGGGTGATGTAGCGGCGCTGTCGTCGCGCCACTAGCACACCGTAACACACCGAAGCCTAAATCGCACTATTAACATTCCGAATCATATACAGTATATATAGAACTTTTCCGAACTATCACTCGGAGTGTTGGTCGCACCCCGGGCAGAACACCTTGCCTGGCGGGAGATCTCCCCTTTTTCCTCACCACGGCCACAATCCTCGTATGGCCAGCAGTGAAGGACCACATCTTGGTTTCATAGGTCATCACTGACAACATGCACTGGTTGTACAACTTAATTTTCAGGTTCTGAGGTATACCCGACGAGAAGATGTGTCGCAATTTTCCTAACGCTGCCCAGCCGAGTTGAATCCGTCAATTGACCTCTCGGTAGAAGTTGGATTTACCTAGATGGACTATTTGTCCCAAGTAAACTTACTCGTCAACAATTTCGAGCTTAGTGCACCCAACAACTGCGGGCATAGGTGTGACATGGACATAAATCATGATCTTTGTTTTGTCTATGTTCATCTTAAGACCTATACGTTAAGAGGCACTCTTGAAGTCATTTAGCATAGTGCTTAAGTCCTCCAGCGATTCTGCCACAAAGCCTATATCTTCGGCAAATGGAAGGTGAGTGATGTACTCACCATTGATGTTAATACCGTATCCTTTCCAGTCCAGTAGCTTGAACTGACTGTAGCACCGCCCAAATTTCAACGGAATTAAAGGCTTTCTGTTAGTCCACGTACGCCGGGCAAAGTGGCAGATAGTACTCTTCGGATTGTACAATTAGCCGAAGGGTATATATATGGTCTACGGTACTTTTCGGAAACCGGCTTGTTCGTGAGGCTGGAATTCGTCGAGTCTGCGTGCGAGAACATTCGTAATGACTCTCTAAAACAGAAGGGATATCGGTCTGTAGTACAAGAGGGCGTTGTTACCTTTCTTGAAGAACAAGACCACCGCACTTCTGCTCCACGTCTCGGAAGTAGTGCCTCCACGGAGGACGGAAATAAAGAGCAAGTACCGGTTTTCCACCCGCTTTCTGAAGTACAGATGTAATGTCATCCTCGCCTGGGGACTTGCCGTTTTTAAGGTGCTGGAGAGTCATTCTATTCTCGCTCAGACTGACGTCGGGGATATCATCGTAATAGTGTCAGATAAGACTTGCTCTTGGATTGTTACTCACGCTTGCGTATGGCTCCATTAATGATGTGTACAGCTGCCTATAGAACTCAGAATCTCAGGTTTCCTGGCAACGATGCTGCCACACTCAGTCTTCAGCTTTGACAGTTGGCTCTTACTGGCAGACAGATATCTGGCAAAAACTTTGGAGCCCTGGTTCCGCTCAATCTCTTCTTCAATACAAGCTGTATTGAAGTTGCATAAGTCCTGCCGCATGGATATGGAGATATGCCTGTTCAGTTGCCTTTATGCTGTCAAATTTGCAAACAAATAAAAACAGTTAATCTTGTACAGCTCGAGGACCCTCCTTAGCCACATCAGGGGCACCGAGTCGAATGCCTTTCTGTAGTCTAACAGGCAGCAGCGAAGTTCCGACGGTTGCGTTTCACCACTTTGTCAATGACCACGTCAATGAGAAGTGGTTCCTTGGTTCCACAACCACTTCCCCGACATCCATATTGAGTGCACGACACCACCTGATTTGAGTCCAGGTGACGAGTGATTTTCGCGCTCAAAATGGTTGTAAGTGTCTTATATATGGTCGGTAGACACGTGGTTTGGTATTTGCTTGGGTTTGTGGTACCCTGGTCTTTAGGAATAAAATGAGTGATCCCATTAGTGAAGAGGCTTGGGAGCGACTTCTGGTTGAAAGCCTCTTGAAACTGTCGGGGAGAGCACAGTATGACACACCACAAACCCCTTCAGCCAGTAGTGATGCAGCCCGTTGAGTCCCGGAAATTTCCAGTTCGGGGCCCTACGAACCATCTCAGCTACGTCATCCGGCGTTATAATGACAGGATCCGTGGACGTTATACTCGCACACTGACTCTCCGCAAGTTCCATCTAAGGGCTCTCGCTGTTGTTTACGGGCTCTGAACACAGGCCGCAGTAAAATGCTACAGAGTCGGCCCGTCTCGGTTCTGGGCTCGTTCCTCTTATCGTTGGTCGCTCCAATAATTTATAGAGCCTCTTCTGATCACTCTGGAAGAGACGATTCTGGTTAAACCGAGTCGAACTCTCGGTATATCGCCGAATCCTTTTTACCCAAGTAGCGATTCTCTGCTTCAGATCATCTTTGCGCTTATATCCGGCTGGGATAAACTGACATTTTTTCCACCAAACGCCATCCTGATGGTGCGCACAATTCTTGGCCTGTTACTGCCTGATCTGAAGCATATCAGTCTGCCAATGAGAGCTCTAGCCATTGCGATACGCTCCTCAATTCTACTTCTCCAGGCTGAGATAACACTACTTTGGCCAGTAGCGCGTCCAACCGTGGAAAACTTGACGCCTATAATACGGCAGACTGCCAGCGAGGCGCCAAAAAGAATTGAGTGCGTCTCAGAAAGGTCCCGGCTGGCTTCCAAATAGGTCACCACCATTAGGTTTAGCCCGATAGCCCGATTCCGCTTGCTTAGGGCTATGCGGGGAAGTCGCGGTCGATTTTAGAGAGGCATACTGCGCGTTTTCACAATCGCCTCTTCCAATGTACTCCTTATTTGCTCTATTTATATTTCCTGGGCGAATCATTTGAATCAGCCACCACTGGGGTATTCACGGCTGCATCCACGGGTGCGGGTTGTTCTGCAACTTGTGGCACCGCATCCTTAGCCGTAGCATTTTCATCTGATGAGGGAACAGCTTCGCGTCGTAGCCGCTCGAGTTCGAGAAGAAAATTTGCTTGTCCTGGTCGGTCTTTCTTTAATTTAAGTTTTGAGTGCAAAAAAGAAAGAAACATTCTATAATAAAATAAGTAGTTTATATGGCAAATAATATTAACAAGTTTTGCTAATTAACGTTGTAAATCCCTAAACAGTGTCGATGTTCTTATACGTGGTAGAGCTATGCTGCAGTTATATTAGTAGAATAGTTATATCACAAATGGGTCGGCTCGACCGGGGAAAGACACACGGTCACAGAATACCAGCGTCAAATAGTAGCTTAATGCTACTGTGTTTCGTATGATGAGTGTAGAGAACAGGAGATCCTTTTTACTGGAAACGAAGCATTCCATCTTAGTCCTCGCGGGTGACAACGCATCTGCTTTTGATTCGTAATCGAGGATAGATGTAGATGTCTACGGGCCACACCAACCAATTACCATCAGGTGGACTGTGTGCTCGTTTGTCACCGTATCCTATAAAAAATATGTGTGTTTATATTATTTTTCTACTTAATACTTTGCTTTTTTCATTTGCTTAAATACGACAAATAAAATATAGTCGCCAAATGATCCTGTAATTAATATTCAGGTCACGTTTTTATTGTTTGAACACGTATTGGGAATGTTCCAGGTAAATGTGGTAGTAAATACATAGTATTTGAAATTAGTAAAATTACACAAAATTACTAACTTTGTTTTGTACTTAAGTTTAATAGGAGAACATATAAAAATACTGACTGTGCCTGTTGGCTTAACCAACGATATATTTGAATTACATTGCCTGTGTGTTTGAAACACGATGATTAAATGTTAAAGGGCATCTCATTTACTTAATACCATTCACAAGTCACATGTAAAAACAGAACGACCAATCACAAAAAACTAACTGTCGGAATGAGTCTTTATTTTGATAGCTATTTAGCCGAAAGCAAAGTTCAGCGTCATGGTGCCAGGAAATCGATGATAACGCCAAAATTTTAGGCTAGACTCTTACTTTTGTTATTGAATTTTGTTAATATTAATAGTACAGACTTTTATTATGGCGCGACATTTTTTAAATTCATTGAATGTGACTGAACGAACACATAGTCCACCTGACGGTAACTGCAGCCCATGGACAGTAGCAACTAATTTCAACTTTATACACTAAACTGGCCATGTAATGGCGGTGTAACAATAACCACAACCCCCATCATAGCATACATCGTTGTAAATGGTGGTGGTCTATAACCAGTGAGTTGGTGACCTTGGTTAATGTTTGGTCTATATCAAAATTGTGGTGTACACCTAGTTGTGGCTTATATCCTGTGGGTTGTTAAGGGGGTTGTGGTGTTTATTCCAAATGGTTGTGTGGTTTTATTCCAAATTTCTGAGGTTGCTGTGTTGGTAATTTAATTTGCTTGCTTGGTGGTATTCCAAATTTTAATCTTGTTGAAATTGCACATTATGTTGGGGATGAAATTGTTGAGGCCGTTGAGAGTGAGGTCTTATGTTTGGTGTGTTTTGAGGTGCGTTAAATTTAAAACTTTGCTGTGGTATTTGTATATTTTGTGAGAAAAATGGTCTCATTGAGAATTTGTCAAAGGGATTCTGAGGTACTGGCTGAGGTTTATGTTGGGCGTTGTTAAGCAATAGTAACATTTTATATCTCATCTGATATTGTTATAAGAAATTAACTACTTCAAGCATTATGCTCAAATCACTTTCTAATGTGTCACATCATTTTAACCGTACAATGCGCAATAAATCCTCGGGTAAATTATATAAGAAAACATTCATAGACATATGGTTGTATATAGTAATTTTACTCTTACGAAGGTTAATATCCACTATTCTATTAACTTTTGCAATCAATGTACTTTTTATATATTGTATTCAATTACATAAATCGAGATGAGATTAGACGTTATTAATTTAAATTTAAGAGGACCGTGTGTCACCGAAATGTTGCTCAAAAGTTAACTTTAATTCTTCCCAGGTTTCAATATCTGGTCTTTCACTAATAAAGGTGGCAGCTCTGCCTACTAATTTTGACATAATTACTTGAAATATGTACAAATCTTGTTCTGTATTTCCTATTTCTCTACACAACTGTATAACATATTCACATCTACGAATGAATAAATTATGTAAGTTTTCGTCGCCTTCAAATTTTGGAATAATACCAGAAAGTTCCTTCGGAATCTGTGTTATTTTAGGCTTTTTTATTAAAATATGTTTATAATTAATTTAGTTCAATACTAAAATTCATAATATTTTCAAAATTTTATTTAATTTTTATTACTTAATAAATAATTTAATTCAATTTACTTATTTCTAAATAAAAGAAATATAATAACGCACTTCAAATTTTGGAAATAACGCTACCACTTTCTAGACACTTACGAGTGTAATTAAAATGGAATTTGGATTGGATTGGAAAATGCATTTGGAGTAGCGATTGGGTCAATCACATACTGCCCATGTCCCTCCGATGAGCCTTAGTTCTGAAGCGTGACTTCCTCGCCGCTTTTCTTCTCGACGAATTTATTTGTTTCGTTTTAAAAGTAAGAAAACTCTCGTCGTATTTGACTGAATTTAAGTAAAACGCGTCGTGAAAATCCAACCGGCTGCCCCAGTCAAGTTATGCAGTGGCCTGAGGACGTTTTAAAAATACTAATTTATTTATGGTAAGATGTTTAATCACTACAAGAACTCGCTGAAGACCAACTTAACATTATATTCTTAAAACAAAGTGTACGAGAGCCCATACAGGAGCTCGGCAGTTTCCATTTGTGCACTCAGCTTTTCCTGTTGTCTGAAATCAGAATATTCTGCTGATGTGAACATCTTGGTGGGTCTCACCACCCGTAACAAGCTACAATATTACATGATCTGATTTTTACAAGTGTTTAATAATATCACCTGTAACAGTACTACATGTATTTGTGCTAAAACATAATAAAATATACAATATTTCTTTTGTATCCCCTGCAATTTACTTTTCTTATTTAGCATAATTTGTGTTATGGGATACACACAACGCCACAAAGGCCTCACATTAATAATCAATCTTATATGTGTATTTATATGAATGAAGTGCATATAACATTGAATATTGGGGTCTGCTAAATGACGGTATAGACGCCGATAACTAGCTGAAGCTAAGGCCTAAAAATACCTATCTAATATAGCCAAAAAATACAAAATATTAAACAGTGCGAGTGTATTGGCTGTGAACTCTCTATCCAAGCATGGGAATCTTTTTCGGGAATTGCATATCTCCCTGCGAATTCTTGTAAATCACTACTTCCAATGGATATAAAAAGCACTTGATTTAAAAATGTTTCTAATTTCTTTGAAAAGACTAAGACAATTGAAACCTTTATACATACATATTTCATTCTACGAAAGTTATTGTGTTTTAAAATAACTGATATCTGATTGAAGAATCGTGGGTTCAAGTTTGTTGCATTAGACTAAATCTCTTGAAATATAACTTTGGGGAGATTTATTTTTAGTACTAAACTTTAAGATGACAAACGAATTATCTTAAAAATAGGTAGCGTTCATCAGTACGATAGATAATTTTGGCGTACAAAATTAACTTTTACTTTCACGTAACTATATTAATATTTAAGGCCATTAACAATAGCGCCCGATACAAGCCACTGATTATATCAGCCAATGCGATCGGAAAGCATGCAATCTCTGTATTATAACCTATGACCACCCCACTGCGTGCATTAGATCGTTTAGAAAGGCACACGTAGTAGTGCATGACGGTCAATTGACGATCTGTCTCCAGTAGCAGAGAACACATCATCGCATTGCAAGCGTACAGGCGTGAAACAAAATGGCGAATAATATTGCAATCAAAGCTTTTATCACTGTCCGGTTAAATTTTATATTCTATAACTCAAACGAACTTGATTATAAAACTTTTGTATTTAATTGTATAGTAAATAGAACTAATTCTTCTCCTCTTTGTTTTATTTTGAACATATTAAGATGATTTAATATATTCTGTATCGAATGGAGAACGGATTGTCATTGATATTGCATTTAGTGTAAACCCGACCGATCCGATTTATCGACCCTTGATCGTGACGTGTACTGGAGAGGCACGGATCAGGTGCTGTAGGATAAGGCCCTTAATTAGTTGTGAGACTTCTGCCTAGGAGCCCGTCTGGGTAGGTATTTCTACTTTCCCTATTATCTATTTCTTCTGACAATCAGCAATGCGTGAATTGTTGTCTTTCAGTCTGAGGTGTGTAGAGAACCGGTATAATTAGAAGCTGTGAGACTTCCATCTTTGTCCTCAGAGGTTACAACGTATTTGTAGCCTTCATTGTTTGAAGTTGGTTGCTAATGTCCATGGGCTGCAGTAATTACTTATTATCAGGAAGGCTGTAAATTTGTTTATCGCTTCAGCTATATAAAATATTGTAATTTTATTACGAAAACAAGCTTCGGGTTTCACCATACTGAAAAAGTTAAGATGTGTATTAATATATTAAGGAAAATAACAAAAATAAATTAATTAATTCAAAAATTATGTCGTTGCTTAGCAATTAGTATGTATATTTTAATACCACAATTTTAATTTTTGGTTTTAAAGCTTTTATTTTATTTAAATTAATATACAAAAGTAAAAAGCTAAATATGTAAGTGAATAATGAATAATATTTGCTTCGAGCCCTATACCGTCAACTACCCACAATGGTGATGGTGAAGTGTAATAACTGCAAGTCAAATAACACCAAAAAAGTGCCGGTTCTGGTATATAACAGATGCAACATTACGGTCCATGTGGATCCGTCCTACGCCAAGCTGTCTCATAAACAGATTAATTAATACTTTGCACAATTCGCCGAACATAGAGTGGAACTGCGAGGAATGTATGAAAAATGTATCCCGTAGATCTTTCTGACGATGACGATGACTCTGTGGTTATGAGTTCTTTGAATACCCAAATTGACACCCAGAAGCTTATCAGAGACATCAGCCGGGAGTTAAAGAAAACGTTCCGGGAAGAAATCGGGAATCTAGTAACCTTATTTTATTTCCTGGGTGAGCAATCGAGTACTATTGATCAAACCCTATTTTTTATTATGTGCGAGCAGCTATGTAGGCCATGGCTGTAGTTCATTGAAAGAAAGAAAGAAAGAAAAAACATTTATTCACGGTCTAATCACAATAGATACAAACAAAGCAAGAAATTGGAATTAAACAGAGAATAAAACAATATTTCCCTAAATTAACAAAAATGTAAAAATATTATAAAATGAGTCTGTGTAGCAGCATAAGACCGTGAAATGGACAGGACTCAGTAAAAATCGAGATACAGAAACACGAATTGCTCTGATCCCGACACTGGTTTTCAGTCCGGCCCGCACTCCGACGTAACTCGGACGGCTGCCTCAATGCACATGCTATAATGCGACGTGGAATATAAAAAAAATATGTGTTTTTAAATTTTGAAGGTAAGTACAAAATAGAATTAACGTTTTCCTTCTAAATATATCAATTTTAATTATTAAGAATGCGGAATAAACGTTGGCTAAAGAATAAAGGTAAGAAAATGATTCTCAGAAAAAGTAAATTTATTATATAAATATTTAAATAAAATGGTTTTATATATTATATAAGGTGAAAATTAAAATATCTACATAATTTATGGGACTGAGATTACTGACGTGTTGAAAGAACTTAACCTCCTACCAGTTTATTTTATAGATCGGTATTTTTTGTTCCGAAAGTAAGTGTAACCTGTATTTGATCTTAAACCCACTAGGTAATTGTTTTCAGGTCACGCAATGGAGGCGGGAGGTTATTCCAACATTTAGTGGCATTATATTTAAAACTACCTCTGAAAGCGGCCGACCGGTAGAAAGGATATACTAACTTGTAATTGGATGATCTGGTATTATACTGCTTATTTTGATCATTAGACCAAATCAATTTATTATATAAATATAAATGTTCTTTATTTTTAATAATTCCAAACAAAAGTGAGGCAAAGTGTAGTCGCCTGCGACAGTCCATTTTTAAAATATTAGCGTTATTAATGAAAGGGGTTACATGTGCACGTGGTGGTACATTGAAACAAAAAGCGTGCACAGGCATTCTGTACCCGCTGTATTATTTGCTGTGTTCGAGATAATAGTCGTGGGCCTATGAGAGAATCCGCGTAATTGAATTTTGAAAGCACGATAGACTCGCAGAGATGTATACGTAAGGTGACACTTAGGTACTCACGAATACGATAAAGTACTTTCAACCTATAAAAGCAGTTACGTGCAATGTTCATTACATGTTTCTCAAAACGAAGTTTGTCATCCATTATTACCCCCAAATTTCTGACTTCAGAGACTCTCACGATAGGTTCCTTGTTTACAATAATGGCAGGGTGGCTTAGTGTGATCTTTTTTATTTGATTTGGCGATCCTAGAATAAGGTACTGCGACTTTTTTTGGATTGAGAACCAATGCGTTACGCTCTGACCACAAAGATATCCGACCCAAATCCGAGTTCAATTTTGTCACTGCTACTTGAACATCACAAGGCTTAAACGATATATATATCTGTAAGTCGTCAGCGTACATGTGGTACTTACAATACTCTATATTTTTAATAATGTCTGCACTATATATTATAAAAAGTAAGGGACCTAAAATGGATCCTTGCGGTACTCCTCGGTTCACAGGGCGCTCCCCAGAAATAGCTTTACCTTTTCCATTTAATTGTATTTCAACTTGCTGTGACCTTTTTTTAAAGTAACTGGCAAACCATTGGGTCGCGTTTCTGCTTAAACCATAAAAAAATAATTTTGAAAGAAGTAATGGGATATTGAGGGTTTCAAAGGCACGCGAGAAATCAAGTAATGTTAAAATAGTACCCACACCACTGGCTTGTGCAGTCAGTATATCATCCACGACCTCTATAAGCGCTGTGGTAGTGCTGTGCTTCTTTCTAAAGCCAGACTGCAGCTCAGGAAGGATGTTATTTGCTTCAAGGTACTTTGTTAGCTGATTACGTGCAAGCTTTTCTATTATTTTAGAAAGGCACGGTAGAATACTAATTGGCCTGAGATCCGACATACAAACAGAGTTACTAGTTTTTGGTATAGGTTTAACGATGGCTTTTTGCCAGAGATCCGGATAGGTATTTGTCGCAAAAGATTTATTAATTATGTATGTTATTTCTGTAATAACATCTTTAGGTAATAACTTTAACATATCAAGAGAAATGCCCTCGCACCCCACTGCATTAGACTGCAAAAAGTTTATAACTTTAACCACCTCATCCTCCGAGGCTTCTTTAAAATAAAAGACTTATTATTAGTGCCATTAAATTCAAAGAAAGTGGGTTTTTACCAGGAATATTAAGAAAATGATTGTTTAAATCATCGGGGTCACTGAAATGGGATGGCAAAGAAGTATCCTTACTTTTTATTTGAACTTGGCGTTTAATGTGCTTCCACATTATTTTAGGTTGATTTAGTTTTGAATTAATATAAAATTTGAAGTAGGCAATCTTTTCTGAAACTATCGCTTTATTAACTATTGATTTTAGTTCCCTATAATAATCCTTATGTGGAGCAAGTTTTGTTTTCCGGGCTCTCACTTGAGCCTCGTTGCGTGTCCTCATCATATATCTTATGTTATGCGTTATCCATGGATAATATTTTTTTTATATAGACAGTTTTAGGAGGGGCGTGAGAATTAAAGATATTTAATAAATTTTTGTTAAAAGAATCAATCATATCGTTTATTTATCGATGCACAGTGCCAGTTAATTTGTTTTAAATGTTGGTTGAAAAGGTTTATGTCCTTATCCCTTAAAGGTCTATACGTGACGCATTCAGGCTGAAACTTAGGCTTGGGAATATCAAGTTCACATACAATAAAGGCATGACTACTGAGGTCACTAATATAGTCCACACTTATATATGACACCGATGCATCTGAACATATAACATCTAAGAGTGTCTCACTATATTCAGTAAAGTGTGTTGGTTCCTCAACATATTGCACAAGGTTATTGCACGTTAGGAAGTCCGAAAGCATTTTGGTACTAACACAATTTTTATTTAAAATGTCGATATTAAAATCCCCAAGCAGTACTGTTTGATCGTAGCCTACAAAAGAACCTAAGGACTCGCTCAGCGCGTCCAGAAATAATGTCACGCTCAACCATGGGGGACGATAAGCAGTACCGAAGACAAGGGACTTGCCGTTAATTTTAATATTTAACCATATCTGCTCCACCGCGGGACAAATAGGATGTTGAATAATTTTTCACGACAAGCCCCGTCTCAAATAAAAACCCACACTGCCGCCACGCGCACGAACTTCGGGAGGTCGGGGTACGTGAAGCAGTCGATACCCTGGAACAGAAGGCGCCCGGCCTTCCTCCCCTGTCCGAAGGCATGTTTCATTGATAGCCATTATGTCTACAGAGTGATGCACCATAGCAGCTAGGAATTCGTCGTGCCTAGTACCAAGAGACCCGGGGTTCAAGAAGCCAATTTTCAACTTATTTAATTTAGTCATTTTCAAAGAATTTATAATAATACGAAAACGTTATAAAATTAGTAATAATCCAAACAAAACCATAATAAAGGAGACTATGATACCACTGCTCATGTACTGTCAAATACATTTCTATGTATGGGCCACAGTTATAAGTTATAAATAAACATAATTGATTGCCGAATATATTATCCGACAATATCCTGTCGCCATTTCCCGTTATGCTGCTACACGTTAGAAAGCAAACATTAAACCTGTCACAATATTCACTATATTAAAAGTGTAACTACAAAATAACATACAAAAAATTTACTCCATACTCCATAAACGTATGCAAAGCAACTTAACAAAAATAAAATGTAACCTAATAATAAAATGGAAATAAAATGTAGTCTAGATAAAAATAAAAATAAAATGTCCTCGTAATAGCAGCTACGTAGATGCGTAGGGGAACAATCATTGAGAAATAATTATAATCCAGACGACAGCCAAATTGACATCGTGCAAGAAGTAACATAAAGCAGGAATTCGCTTCAAACTATTCAATCCCCAAAAATTTTGTTTATATCTATTTCTGTTCGAATTCTATAACGGGGTGAACCAGAATCACGACGCGCAAAAATGCATCTTTCCCGCGTCTACACATATCTCCAGCCTTTGCGGCGCCCTTCTTCCCGTGCTTTATAAAATAATTGCCTATTGATTGAGGTGAGCCGCTCATTAACATAAAATCGGCGTGGCTCGCTACCTAAGTTCAAACCGGCAGTATCCGCCCCTCGCCGAACGCGCGCTTTGTGAATTAGTTTATCTCGAATCACTCGACGAGCGAGACGGACAACTAACGGACGCGGCCTTCGCTTGTCACCGCTGCCTGGTATTTCCTCGCGGCGCATGCCTATACGCCTTGCACTTACAACATCGCGCTCGTCCAATTCAGTGCCAATTTTAGCCGCAAGCATAGTGACGAGGTGCAAGGGGTTTTCGTCCTTCTGTTCTATTACACCAGATATTTCCAGATCGTTTAAAAGTAATTCTTGATCACGCTCGTTAAGTCGACACTTTAACTCCGCTATGCTATCTTCGACCTTGGACCCTCCGGGTTGACTCGGCAAGTCCGTTGCCTGCTGCTCAAGACATGCGATCCTTTTCTCGACGTCGCTAACCCTGTTACTTATTTCACTAATATTAGAATTAATGTTAGTGATTTCATGGCGAAAAGATACCATTTCGCGGGCAATAGTAGTCAACTGCTCGCGTATTAATTTTAGCTCGTTTGCTAAGTCGACATTAGTTTCACAGCGCCCTCTATCGTCGGATCCAAGCTGTGCATCGCCGAACTCTGTGTCCGTGCCGCCCGAGCTACACGAACTAGGCGTAGCAATTGTGTTCACCCCACTCGCACATACATTTTTTGCCTTACAACCGCTGCATTGCCATTTATTTGATATTCGGCCGTCAATAGGAATAATAGCACATTTGCGATGAAATAAATTAGTGCAACTTGAGCACTTTATCGAGTCCACTGTAGAAGCAAAACGACCACAGGCGCCGCGTTTATTTGCCATTTTTATTGACAAGTACTTTATTTAGATGAAAGTTAGACCAATAGATGTCGCTGTACGAAGTTTGTATTAATTATGTAATTTGATATGTATAATTATAAGAATGTTTAATAATCAGCGATTTACTATATACTATTTACCTTGTTTACATTTAACTATTTAAGGTTTGTTAAATAACTTAAATGTTTACCACAGCAATTTGCAATACGGTTTAATGACAAACAGCAGATCTTGTTACGAACAGCTGATCACTATTTTGCACTGTAACAACCAACGACCATTGTTTTCACTTTATTCTACTAATGTATCTTATAACACTACTAAAATTGATTTTAAATATACTTGTTTACTTATTTAAAAATGCTGTTTTATATTTAAAATAATTTTTAATACGGGACACAAGCACTTGACAGCCGACCAAGCTACCCGCAATATCAAATCATTGCTAAGCCCTATATCTATATCTTATATATATATATATATATATATATATATATATATATATATATATATATATATATATATATATATATATATATAGTAATTACCTAAACACTTTAATTCACTTTACACTAATTAAAGTTAAAAACACTAATATTTAATCACACTGATTCACTTTATTTCTCTCCGAAGCTTCGCTTGTCTCGCCAAATCCAATACTTCCTCGATCGCATCTTGCAGCGCCTATTTATATAAATTAGCAGCGAAATATCCAGAATATTCAAGTAAACACGCGCAAGGTACCGAGAGTTCGTGTTTCAATTTCAAGAAGTTTAGTTCTTCGGTTCGAGACTAGATGGCGCTAGTGCCGTCGACTTGAGCGGCTGTATCCTTTGTTGCGGTCGCGAACTGTAGCTGCTGCAACCTCCCTGACGCGATGGGAACGATGATCCTGCCGCACGGCTTCCACCTCCAGTGCATGGGCCAAGGCGCCCTTAAACGTCTCGTGGTGCCCGAGCCTCACAGCAGCTCTGACTTCCAGGTCGCGGATGCCGTCGATGAATGTCTCCACCAGGTTCGCTTCAATGAGCGCAGGTACAGACCGGTATGCTTTTCGCACCAGCTTCTCCACCTCTAGAGCCCACTGCTGCAGGTTTCCGTTGCTGCGTTGCACGCGATCTTTAAGTTGCGCGCGAAAGACGTGTTCCAGGTGAGCGTCACCATATCTCGCCTCCAATGCCTCAAGGAGCTGCTCGTAGGTCACCTTCTTACCGAGAGCTTCCAACACGGTTAAGGCTTGGTCGCGCAGGCCTAAGGTGAGTGCAGTCATGGCCTGGCTTTTATTCCAGCCGTTTGCCTCCATGACGGCCTCGAACTGGATTTTGTAGGCCGACCAGGAAGAAGTCCCGTCGAACGGCGGCACTTTGAATCCACGTAGCGAAGGTGCTGTAGCTACTACGGGAGCTGTAGTTCCATCCCCAAGTTTGAGTTCGTCCAGTGATTTCTTCATCTCAGCGTTGTCAACCCGATTGTTCACTTGATCGATTCGGGTTTCAGCTTTCGACAGGCGGTTGTCATGTTGAGCAACCTTATCTTTCACCTCCCGTATCTCTTTTTCGAAGGTAGCGTGGATATCTTTCATGAGGGGCATCTGCTCTTCCTTATTGCGTTTGAGCTGCTCTTCCAAACGACGGACCTGTTCCTCCTGTCCGCTCCGCAGCTGCTCTTCCAATCAGCGCGCCTGTTCCTCCTGTCCGCGCTGCATCTGCTGCAGCATCACCATCAGAGCACCTTAGTCAGGTGCTGCAGATGCAGGAGCTACTGACGGGCCGACCTCCGTTGCCTGCGGCTGTCCCTCCGAAGTCTGCGGGGTTGCACCACCAAATCTTCTCTGGTCCGTCTCCTGCTGGCGTTGACTTCGGGTACGGAAACCCTCCGTTTCCTTTCACTTCTGACACCAATTGTTACGAGCTTGAGGTTCGTGACAATAAAAAATTGCCGATAGAATTACCTAAATTAACACTTTAATTCACTTTACACTAATTAAAGTTAAAAACACTAATAATTAATCACACTGATTCACTTTATTTCGCTCCGAAGCTTCGCTTGTCTCGCCAAATCCAATACTTCCTCGATCGCATCTTGCAGCGCCTATTTATATAAATTAGCAGCGAAATATCCAGGATATTCATAAACACGCGCAAGGTACCGAGAGTTCGTGTTTCAATTTCAAGAAGTTTAGTTCTTCGGTTCGAGACTAGATGGCGCTAGTGCCGTCGACTTGAGCGCGTAACAATATTGTTACGTGCTAAAATCGGCGCACTAGCGCCATCTAGTCTCGAACCGAAGAACTAAACTTCTTGAAGGTTAAAACTCAAACTCTCGGTACCTTGCGCGTGTGTCGTGTGCGCACTTGAACATTCTGGATATTTTGCTAATTTATATAAGTAGGCACTGCAAGATGCGATCAGACAGAGTTGATTTGACGAAACAAGCGAAGCTTCGGAGCGGAATTAAGTGAATTAGTGTGTTTAAATATTAGTGTTTTTAACTTTAGTTTGTGTAAAGTAAATTAAAGTGTTAATTTAGGTAATTTTATCGGCAATATTTATTGTCACGAACCCTAAGCTCGTAACAATTGGTGTCAGAAGTGGGATAAAATAATGCCGATTTTACCTAAGGAGGAAACGGAGGGTGTCCGTACCCGAAGTCAACGCCAGCAGGAGACGGACCAACGAAGATTTGGTGGTGCAACGCCGCAGACGTCGGAGGGCCAGCCGCCGGCAACGGAGGCCGGTCCGTCAGTAGCTCCTGCATCTGCAGCACCTGATTTAGGCGCTCTGATGGTGATGCTGCAGGAACAGGCTCGTCGGTTCGAAGAGCAGCTGAAGCGCGGACAGGAGGAACAGGCCCGTCGGTTTGAAGAGCAGCTGCGGGGCGGACAAGAGGAACAGGTCCGTCGTTTGGAAGAGCAGCTGCGGGGCGGACAAGAGGAACAGGCCCGTCGGTTGGAAGAGCAGATGCTCCTCATGAAGGACCTTCACGCTACCTTCGGGAAGGAGATCAGGGAGGTGAAGGATAAGGTTGCTCAACATGACAACCGCCTGTTGGAGGCCGAAACCCGAATCGACCAAGTAAACAATCGGGTTGACAACGTAATGGCTGACGTGAAGAAAACGCTGGACGACCTCAAACTTGGGGATGGAACAACAGCTCCCGTAGTAGCCACAACACCTTCGTTACGTGGATTCAAAGTGCCGCCGTTCGACGGGACCTCTTCCTGGTCGGCCTACAAAATCCAGTTCGAGGCCGTCATGGAGGCGAACGGCTGGAATAAAAGCCAAGCCATGACTGCACTCACCCTAGGCCTGCGCGACCAAGCCTTAACTGTGTTGGAAGCTCTCGGTAAGAAAGTGACCTATGAGCAGCTTCTTGAGGCCTTGGAAGCGAGATATGGCGACGCTCACCTGGAACACGTCTTTCGCGCGCAGCTTAAAGATCGCGTGCAGCGCAGCAACGAAAACCTGCAGCAGTGGGCCCTTGAGGTGAGAAGATGGTTCGAAAAGCATACCAGTCTGTACCTGCGCTCATTGAAGGGAAACTGGTTCAGGCATTCATCGACGGCATCCGCGACCTTGAAGTCAGAGCTGCTGTGAGACTCGGGCACCACGACACGCTTAAGAACGCCTTGGGCCGTGCACTGGAGGTGGAAGCCGTGCGGCAGGATCATCGTTCCCATCGCATCAGGGAGGTTGCAGCAGCTACAGTTCGCGACCACAACAGAGGATACAGCCCTAGGTGCTATGGCTGTGGGGAAAAGGGCCATCTTCGATCCAGCTGCCCTAAGCGAACCCTAGAAAGGGAAGGTGAACGATCTCAGGAGGGTAGTGCGGCCAACAGCACCGCCCTGCAGCAGCAGGGAAACGAGTAAAAGCCAGAACTGCGGGGCGGGTGCTGGCTGATGTTAAAAGAGCCCCAAGGATCTCGATCTCACAAACCCATGATGGGAACAGTCTAATCATCAAGGGCGAGGTCAACGGAATGCCGTGTAAACTGACCATAGACACTGGAGCCTCTCGTACGGTTGTTAGTTCCCAACTTATAAGTCAGTTCCTTGGGGACTCCGCATACAACCGAGAACGCATTAATTTGGTAACAGCCACCGGTCAGCGTATACCCGTCCGTGGAGAGAAGGAGATGGAGTTGAAGCTAGGCAACGTGATCTACCTGCATAATGTCATCGTGGCTGATATAATGGACGACTGCATCCTAGGCCTAGACTTTATGAGGAATAATTGTTGTGAGATCGACGTTAAGCAAGGTGTTTTGAAATGTGGACAGGAGGAACTTTTTATGGAAGGTGCGTTACCAGGGAACGTGTACAGCATTAAGAAGATTGTTCTTCCGCCGAGATCGGAAACGATTGTTCCGGTTAGTCTTCCTCGAAACGCTGGGCAAGCTCACCGTTGTGTACTTGTGGAAAGGGTAAACAATGACCTTTTATGGAAAGTAGCTCGAACCTTGGTCAGAACCACCGACATCTCAGGAGTACGTGTGCTGAACCTTTGCGACCGGGAACAGATTATAGAAAAAGGCACACTGGTTGGTACTTGTGAGGAAGTGGATTGGTTACGTCAGTGCCAATATATATCGAGTGGGACCCTCAGCAAGGATTCAGAAACGAGGGTGACCACACTTTTGGAAGACTGTCGCAGTGTTCTGTCCCCGAACGAATTGGTCAAGGCGAAGAAGTTGTTACTCGAGTACTCCGATGTATTCCCATCAAACGATACTGACATAGGAAAGACTGGTTTAGTTCAACACAAAATAAACACAGGTGAAGAGTTGCCTATCCGTCAGCGGCCAAGACGATTGCCCGTAGCACGTGAAAAGGAAGTGGAAACCATGATTAAGGGAATGGTGAAGAATGGTGTTATTGAACCTTCATCTAGTCCATGGTGTTCACCCGTGGTACTGGTAAAGAAGAAGGATGGCAGCTTGCGGTTTTGTGTTGACTATCGCCGTCTGAACGACGTTACTAAGAAGGATAGCTATCCCTTGCC